CCGGACCATGGGGGGGTAGATCTGCCTTCAGTCGGTCGATGATCATCTCCTCCATGTTCTTAGTCCTGTCCGCTTCAGAGAGCTCAGGGAACTTCTCCTTGGTATAGTACCGGTTGAGGTGTCGTTGTAGAGCTGCAGCATAGAGGGCAGGGTGCTGACCCTTGGACCAGCGTAGCTCTTGGAACTGTTTCAGGGCTTGGTGGGGACGGACATGATCAAATATCTTCAGGAGGGACTTCTTGTCTTCCTCGAAGTTCACCTTCTTAGCATAAGCATCCCAACCAGAGAGAAAGGGTTCCTTCAAGTACAGACCAAGGCGTTCTGCCTGCTGTCCAGTGGACCATCCGGCGGCAAGGGCACATTGTTCATAGCGTCTTAGCCAATCCTTAAAGCTACCGGAGATACCGTCGAAAGCAGGGGGCATCGAGAGACTAATCCTCAAGGGGGCGGCTTCATCAACCTGGGGGTGATTATCACCAGTATTATTCGTCATTGGGCTCGTCGTCGATCAACAAGGAGCTGCTACCAGAATGTTGTGCCTGTTACTGGGCAACACAACTAGTAGCCAGACTTCGGTGGATAGCGTAGTCGAACTTCACAACAAGGGCAGACCTTCGTGGAAGGGCAGCCGAGTGAGAAGGATCAAAAAGGAGTTGTAACTCTACTTATCCTAAGTTCATGATCACACAGTGCGCATACGTGCATAGCGCGATCGATGGCGAGCGAATATAAGTGATCAGACGATAACGATTACAAGGGCGAGCGCGTAGGGCGCGATCCCTACACATTGTCCGTAAACACAAGCACACATCAGCCTTGACTCTAACATCCTCTTTTTTCTCGTCCCCGCCCTCCAAAAGGTTGGATCTCAACTCTAGCTTCTCTTCTCCCAACGTATCCAAAAACTTTCATGTTGAGGACCAATCAACGAAGCGTCTATGATAATGTGGAATTGCAGGAGAAAGTAATAGTCTATCGTTCCTCTCGCTCTTCTTGTTATTGTTATTGTTATCGTTGTTGTCGTTGTCGTTGTTGTTGTTGTTGTCGTTGTTGTTGTCGTTTTTGTTGATGTTGGTAAGCATCATAATATGTATTATAGATAATACGATTAGAAGCAGAAGTATCGGAACTATCACAAACAGCTTGTTCATTATCATCAAGAGTTGAGGAGTTGGATAATACCAAATGTGCTCTACAAGAAGCTCAAGACTTAGCCCAGAGTGTTATAACAATGCATGATACTATACATATCTGTAAAGAGGCACTAGCTACTAATAACATTGATGATGCTGCTAAAGCAATAGCCCGGATTAGAGAGGTATAATGATACAGTATTTGTTGGTGCGATCGTTACTACTATAATAGATAAGACGTATGTATCCTGATATATACAAGGTATGTGATAATGCAAGTCTTAAAGAGGCTAAGAGACTTGAAGATGAGGTAGTAGTAGGCTACTCATACTGTTACTGGGGGGG